TGAAATAGAGTCATGAAATAATTGAAATAGTTAAAATTAGCGTTGCGAGAGAACATAGACTTCGGGTGTTTATTTTAACATTATAAATCATAGAATTTTGCTTGGTTCGCTATTACTTCTTTAAAAAATTATATTTGAATTTGTTGTGTTTTCTCTCGTTTAAAGTTGAGCTAGCAAGATTTTAATTTTCATTTTTGTACTTAGAAATAGTAACTTTCTATTGAATTCCTTTTTTGAAGAGTTAAGAATTTCTTTATTTTTGTAATTAGTCGCGTTTTTAAAGTAGTGTTGCGTTCATAAAGTGCCCATACTCTTCCACTAAAATTGTGGAAATATGTTCCTGCAACTGGACCACCAATCGTTCAACAGCAACCATCAATATAATTGCACTGGGACTTTTTGTTATTAGTGTTGCGTATATTTAATATGAGTGCATAGATTATTATTTGTTAGCGTTCCATAAATAATTAAAATATCTTACTATTTTGCTTCGTATTTTATATTCTTTTCCTACTTTACTTTTTTCTATCAATGATAAATTAATTAGTGTTGCAAATATAATAAAGCACTCATCGCGATTTATCCTGAAAATTATCTATTTTATTATTGAGTTTGTTAAATAAAATTAATGTTGCGAAATATAATAATATCCCACTTGTCGGTTACTTGAATTCATATCGAGTGGGTGGCCCTTCCGGTTGCCGAGTTTGTTTCTTTTTCAGCATCCCTTACTTAGCAGAGTGTTTATTACTGAAAATACTAAATGATAAATGATAAATTTCTATGATATTGTTTGTATCGGTTTTTAAAATTTTTAATATTTTTTATTTAATATTTAATACTTTAATATTTTTAAATATAATATTTTGAAAATTTCATTTTCTTTTCGCGTGTAATATGTTCTTTCTAATATAAATATTTTTTAAGGTATTAATCCAATAAACAAGTCTGTTACAGGATTTTGGGAAATAGCAATTTCACATATTGAAGGTTCAATTGAAGACAATATCTAGAAGAAAAGGAATAAACCTTATGAAGTGATATTTTATTTCTCGTCTCTTAGAAAGGTATTTATTAAATTTTGTAAAATTTGAGTTTGTTTCAGGAGGCGTAAAATTACCAGAAGAAGACACATGTCCTATATTCCATTCTTTTCCCTTGCGGTATTTAAATTCGATATTTAGATCTTTAAATAAATAAATAGGATACATAAAAAGATCTTTGGTTTCTTTTATGTAGAAAGAATTTATAAACTCAACTGATTTCTGACAGCTTTAAAGGAATTGTTCAATTTCAAATAGACATGTTTTTTTTTTGTAAAAAGAAACTTTTATGACTTGTAAAGAAATCATGAGATGGCCTCTACAAAAAAATTTAAATTTTCAGTGAAGTTAATTTGAAAAAAGAGAGATATTATTTCAAAGGATCCATGATAGTTTTTATATTTTTGATAGATGGATAGATCAACTTCTTCAAGTTGACTATGAAGTTAGATATATAAATGAATTGAGATTTGTAATAGGTTTTTAGCCTTCAAATCAGATTGAATTTAGAGTCAGGAAGGCCTTCTGTTAATTAGAAGAAAATAAAAGAACCTATATAAATATCCTTGTATTTATAATGCATGTCTACTATTTAGCAATTAATGCATGTGTAATTAAAGCTAGTATTTAAGCGCTTAAAGTAATGCCAGAAAGCCTGATGTTGAGTAGAATAGTTCAGTAGATAATGTAGTGTAATTCTTTGTGGGACGCATTTCATTTTTAAAATTTTTTTATTCCAACTATCAATTCTTTTACATTTTTATGTTAGTGAAATTGTAAGATATTGATATAGACACGAAATAGCGTATCACGTGAAGTTGTACGATTAGTTTGATATCAAATTGAATTTTTATTTTCAACTTAGCTTTTCGCATCGGTGAGAAAGTTGAACGTTTTAAAAATGGCACAGTAAATGAGTAAATTTTTGTGCGTAAAAGGGCAATTTTGAGACGTGGGCAATTATATCATCATTTAGTGTACAATTTCTAATTGTATCGATGGAACTCCATCTTTTTTTTTTTTACCGAAATTTTAAGTATTGCATGGACGATAAATTATAGCACAATCATGGTCACACTGGATCATTATATAAACTCCAATTAAGAACGTTGTATGTGATACAATTACGAATTGTATAGCAAATAGTATGAGCTGATTGGTTGCGATTGCGATTAAATTTTTAGGTGCAATTAGTTAAAATTGACTCATTATTGATTTTAGAAGGATATAGTTTGCATAATTGTTGCTTGAGTTTCGATTGTTTTACAATATTAGAATTTGCCACTCAGTTGTTCATTCACTTTAATAGTTGATCTCAAGTACCAGAATGTTCTATGTGTATTTTGTTTATATTATTAGTAGTTGTCAGATTTCGTAATTGTATATAATTTTAATTTTATATTAAATTAATAATTATATCGTGAGATTTGGCTTTTATAACGAATTTACTTATCAGTGGATTTCTCTATTTTTAATCCATAAAAGTCACGAAAGAAAAGAACATCGTTTTTCTGTAGAATGATAAGTATTGGAATTTGTAGTCAATAAGCCGCTGCTGTTTTCGGTATATTCTAACGTTTAATTGCCAACATTTACATTCCAAATTCGTTCGTAAGTTAATTAACTTTCACTGTGTCCACTGTTCTCAATTACCGCGCGTCGAACCGAATTCGTTTCACGAGTACAGCGAGTTCTGTCCATGGCTCGTTGCAAATTAAGCGAAAATCGAGGTCTTTTAAGTAAACTCGAGCACCAATTCGATCGATCTAACTGGTTGATAGAATTTCAGGAAGAGATTAGAGTAACGTAGGTTACTCACCATAAGAGTTCTGTTCTGATAAAAATTTCCAAGTAAATTGACCGCATTTGAACAACATGGCTCTTCGAATAAGTGACTGAAAGTTTTTCAGAAATTTTACAGAATTTCCAGAATATCCAAAGTCCGAAGTATTTGTTACGAAATTCAGAGTTTCGAAAACGACTGTCTCTATTTAGGTCCTTCATCTCTTAAATCATATTCACAACGACCTGAATTCGTACAAAAATTCACACAGTCTGTTGATCGGAATTTCCAGTTAGCATCAACTTTCGTTCGAACAGAAAGTCAAGAATCATCGTCAACAAGAAAGTTAAAAATTCTGCGAGATGCCAGGAAGAATCTTTGGTTTGCCAATTACGTGAACGTTTCTAGAAACTCATTTGCCTTGCCATTAGTCGCAAATGAAAGTACAATATCTAAGAATGATTGGCTCGTGTCTCGTATCGAAATATAAATACCGATATTTCTGACTGAAGGCTTATCAAAATTTGAGATTCATAATTTTAAGTTTCTTAATCGGGTCTCTTCCAAGTGTTTCGAAATTGATGTTTACACGTTTTTTGTTAGTTGCGATCCTGTGATCACTAAATATTCATGCGTTTTTGGAAAATCTCGCAACATTTATCAAATTTAGTTAATCGATAGTACCGCCAAGAAAATATACAGAATCTACAAAATACATGTTACCTGTAAAAGTAAAACTCCAAGGTAGAATATTATTTACAAGAAGTTGCTAGCTAATCGATCATCTTTGATCTGTTCTTAAAATAGAATTCTGAGTAACAAACTCTTAGAAAAATCACACTTTGCTCATGAAAAGATTTAGTAGATGAGACAAGTTTCTATCTAAACTTCCATTCCTTCAATTCAGATCGTGAAAATATAAAATTTGCGGTTTAATAATGCGTGTTTGGATTCTTCTTCGGCAGGTAGTTGTAGATATCGTCGACATTGGCCATTTTTACGATCTTCCAACGCCCTTGCGCTAATCCTTCCGCTTGTTCGACTCAGAATTACAAAGTTCGTTGTCTAGCTTGCTTTTGACTTTGTCTGCTCTTTTCGAGCTATGGAAGAACGACGAGAGACGACGCGTATACAGGGTGTGAAATTCCAAGGTGTTGCAGGTGAAACAAACCTGCGTTTGTTTACCCAGATGTTGACGAGCGTGCGG